ACACGAGGGCCATTTTCCAGGCCCTGCGTCCCTCAGGCTGAAAGCCTGAAATTCAGGCTGAAAGCCTGAAAACCAGGGCCTACAGGCCCCGTGTCCATTCAGCTCGAAAGCCTGGGAAACAGGGGCCTACAGACCCTGTGTCGTTTCAGACTAAAAATGGCAGTAGCCTTTTTAGCCTGAAACGAAGGGCCATTTCCGGTCTGTCATCAGACCAGCCTGCCCTGAAACTCACGCACCAAACCAGGGTTTTAGGAACAGGCTATTTTTGGCCTGTTCCCACGACAGCTGCAGCGCCAGCCCCTGGCTCAGCTTGGCATTGGCAAGAGCAGCCTCCTGGACTGCCCGCCCTGCATCTGCAGGCAGGCGGAGGCAGTCAGGAGGCAGGCCGAGATAGTACATAGGGACTTCCCATGCACTTCACGGGGAGGATTCGGCAGCAGCACTCTGGAGGAGCGCTGCAGTAGTAGTAGTAGCGTTAGCCTTAGTCTTCAGCGCTGGGCGCTAGCAGCGTTAGTTGTAGTCTTCAGCGCTGAGCGCCATAGCTAGAGTAGCACTAGAGAGAGAGAGAGAGATTGGGCGGAGGCCAGGGATACTTACCTGCAGCGCCGTTGCTCCAGCTTCGTCTTCGAGGTACCTGCCGCACAGCGCCCTCTTCACAGGTTAGTACCTGGCATACAAGAGAGAGAGAGTGTGCTTCTTCTTCCTCTTCTCAGTCCACCATCTCCTTCTCACCCTCTCGCTATCTGACTTCACTGCATCAGCAGATTACGAGAGAGATAGACAGAGCTTAGTGACATTGGATCCAGACTCGATATGGGACTTCAGACATTTCGAAGAGGGATTATTTGGGACTTGTAACGAGACTTGGTGTTGACGACTTCCCCTTCCTCTTCGTCTGTGTATGTCTGGACCTGGCGCCTCTTTTCTGTGTATAGCGCCAGGCCCCTTCACACTTTGTGATGAGCATGATGTATGTTGGTCTGCGTTGAAACATCGATCGGGCTAGTCATTAGTACTCTAGCATTCTGCTTCACTATCTTGTGCTACGTGAAAGAGGTCAATCCCGGTCAGGTCAGGACTTGTATCTGAGTCTTCCACCTGCGCTATAAAAAACCCATTTGTATGTATCGGAATGCACATTGCTTGTTGAGATTCTACTTGCACTGCATTGTCCATTCAGTCCTTTTTATCACATTGCGGATCCTCGGTTATGCATGGGTCCTGGGGACCATCTCACGCAGATGTGTGTACATGCCATGCATCGTACTCCCACACACAATGAACAGTAGTCTGACAATAGACAAAGATAGAGAAGATGAGGACCGAGTTTCACAGTTTATATTATCAGAAATATGAATACAAAGTGTTTCAAAGTTCCCCTGAGTCCAGGGCTCATCAGCGCAACACCAATATCTTGCCAACTCATCAATATGACTTCCAGTGAATCAGTGCTACCCTTGCAGATAGTCTCCAAGTCATCAATGTGGTCACTACTCATCAGCGCCACCTCTGCA